TTTGCATTTGAAAATTATTATCATTTAGTACATCTAATATACCTTAATAAATGTTTGATATACAATATATTCTGAAATACTAGTGTGATGTTGATTCAATGGTGCTCCAAGAAAAGAAACCTCACCTAAAGTGTAAGTTGTCTAGAGGTTGACCACTTTAAATAAAGTATGCAACATGTTTCTAAAATTAATATGTCAGCTAAACTTTTGTCGAATAAAGTTTGCATGTGAAAATATGTCAGTAAATACATTTTATAATGCTATCCTCAGCTAAACTTTTGTCGAATAAAGTTTGCATGTGAAAATATGTCAGTAAAGAAATGTTATAATGCTATCCAAAGATTTCTATAACAAACATACATATGTCTATGCGTTGTCACCTTGGATTGTCAAGATATATGAAATACTGATCATGTCACTATAACAGAATCAATTGAAATATGTCAACAGATAATTATTACATACCGACCGACATCTCCTTGCAACATTAAGATGATTTCCGATTTCCACCATATATGCCAGCACAAAATATTCTTGCCTAGCGCTTGCCTTTATGTTTCCCACAGGTTTTTTTAAAATTTAATTGAATTAATTTCCATATACAATAAACCCTCAGACCAGATGACAGTTCAATTCACAATTTCTCAGAATGTTTTATTTAGGATTTATATTGATAACCGACACAAAATAGGCAACCCATCAGTAAAAAATGGTAGCCATCTTGGATTTTGAAGGCAACCCATCAGTAAAAATGGTGGCCATCTTGGATTTTCAAAACCTATATGCATCAATATAAACAACTAAACACATGCTGATAATGAAATTCAATGAAATATGTTATTAAATAACTAATACACACCACGACAGAGCTCATAATAACTATAACGACAATATGAAAAATTGTCATTTTTTGTCAACTTTTTTTTACGGTACCCAACTTCAAGCTCAATTTTCTAGTCTTAGGTCTACCTATATCCTCATCAGAAATTGATTTTTGAATTCCTGAAGACATTTCGGTCTAGAATCATTCCTCAGACCATTTGGCGCTTCCAACATAAATAAAACCTATCTGGCTCTTCGACTATTACGTTTTAGCGTGTGTTATCATTGCTTGTGACTCAATTCCCGCGCGTGCGCAGATGACGACCCTCCCGTAATTTAAAGTAATGTGATTATAGGACATAAACTAGGCCATGAGCCTAGAGTATTTTATTTCCCATTGTTCAGACCAGACTTTCAGATATCGCGCTCAATAAAACATG